CTAGGATGTGTTTTAACGTAGGACGAAGAGTGAGACACTAAAATCCGAAGGCACATTAGGACAGAGAAATATGCCTTCCAAAATCTAAGCACAATATTAAGAAACAAGAAAATCTCATTAGACACAAAGAAAATATTACTTAACTGATATGTAATATCGTTCCTACAATAAGGAAGTGAATGCCGGGCAGCTTACTTACTCAAAGATTGTGTATAGATGGAGAGGATTCATCACTGTTAGAGTGAATATATGCCGTCTATATAAAACTACCTTCATGGTAGATGTATAAGTTATGTTATGAAATATAAAATGATATCGTATTTACGCTTCGGTTCCATTTCTAAGGTGACCAATATTATTGATGCTATATACAAATTAAATGGCCTGTGTTCCAGAATCCGAGAAGAATCTAAAAACTGAAGCATCTCCGGTTTCAAGAATTTTGGTTTGGTTTCATTTGATTTACGTCATTTCAAGCTCAATATTTTATTTAATGCCGACAAGATATTCATTGTTGGTAATATTTTTTTTTCTTTGAAAATGTATTGCTGGTAATATTTTTTCAAAAATATATTGCTGGTAACACTTTTTTCAAAAATGTATTGCTGGTAATATTTTTTTTTTTCAAAAATTTATTTATGGCAATATTGTTTTTCAAAAATGTATTGCTGGTAATATTTTTTCAAAAATGTTTTGGTAATATTTTTTTCAAAAATGTATTGCTGGTAATATTTTTTACAAAAATATATTGCTGGCAATATTTTTTCCAAAAAATATTTTGGTGGTAATATGTCTTTCAAAAATGTATTGCTGGAAACTTTTTTTTCAAAAATGGTGATTTCTTTTAAAAAAACTGTATTACTGGTAAAACATTTTCCCAAAAAGGTATTGCTGGTATAAAAATCTGTTTTTATAGTTTCATAATTTTTTGATCGCTTTTGGAGGGTTAATTAATTGACCAGAGACGTAACCCTGACAGGTGCTAACAACCCGAGTCAGAGTGGACTTGGGAACACCTGCAATTAAGAGGTAGTTCAACGGATCCTCAAAACCTTCTAATGAAAGCCTTTGCTGCTGGATGTAGTTTATCGTCTTACCCAGATCGGCCAGAATTTTGGATAAAGAATTCTCGATCCGTAATATGTCCTAGCCGTAAAAGATTTTTTTTCCAATACTTACGTCAAATGATAAAAGGGTCATAGCAGACCCAAAAGAAGAATCACAAAAATCTCCTGAATATAATAGCAAAATAAGACGATACGAGCGACTATACAAAGTATTGCCAGTTCATTCCAGATATATATTGCTGTGTTATCAAAGGTAGAACAAAGCTTAAAACAAGAAATAAAATAATATTTAATACTTCCAAACAAGGTTTTTATTATTTCAGGCAATCAATCAGTTATGTGTCATGCGTGATACAGGCTTAGGCGATCATGTATCTTTTGATACATGACTGTGGACCTGGGGACACCAGCAAATAAGACGTGGTTCCACGCTCCTCAAAACCTTCTGATCAAAGGCCTTATGTCGATATTTAACAGTCCCCCATGTGGGTCGTATGTGGCACAAGGCTGAGTTTGCCGTGGGTTCTCCAAGCCCGTTCGCTCGGCCAAAAATATTCCCTTTGAACCTGTATAAACGGATTCAGGACCTGTTTACCTCCCCGGACGAAACCTTGCCCTTCGGCAAGCCTCATCCGGGTTACTCTCTGCCAAAGACAGAGAGTTCGACAGTTGAACAGTTTAGATCCCTGTCCTCTTGCTGTCGGATCTAGTTTATCGGCTAGAATTTTCGATAATGAATTCTCAATCTATAATATGAAAGAGAATGATGATTTTCAATAATATATGTATATTATTTGGAATGTACATCTTGAGTAAGATAATTTTGAATGCCGATGTAATGGCATTTTAACATAGGAATAAAAGTGCGCATTAGACAAAAAAATTTGAGAGTCACTGGTTTAGACATTTTTGAACGAGGTGGACGCCATTTAGGACAACAATGTGAGAGTCTAGATGGGCCAAAGTTATTTAAGTACATGACTCGATTTCTCAGTCAAGATTTTGGTTTTATTCTATGGATAAAAATATTTTAAGCAAAACCCATCCTGTCTGCCATACTAAATTTGGTTACTGTTTTTTTTTTTTCCTAATCATTTTGCTCCAAGAAAGACAATGAAAGCCACTAGGATGTATGGGATTAAAGAGAGTAAAAGCAACAGAAACTATAAAAAAAAAAAAACAAGATTCTCCAATTGGCACACTGGAGAGTTTCTTAGAACGTTACTTGGAGAGGAAAATACGATTCTTTAAAGTATATACTACTCAGAGAAAAACTATAAGTAACAGGTGCCTTTTATTAAAAATCGGTAAATAAATAAATGCCCGGATCAGTCAGACATTTAAGTGCCGTGCGTGATACACGCTTAGGCGGCCACGTATCTTTCAAAACATTCCCCCCGCCCCCCGCAGTAGTTTCTTTTTCAATAGACCGGTTGCCGTCCAAGGCTATAGATCCGGGTCTGTCATGCTATTTACCCATAGCTGGGAGGAGAAGAAGAGGATTCATACCTTTCCCATGTATATTAACTGGAATATCCATGTATATTTTGACTGGAATTCGAACTCGGCTCTCTGATTCCTCAATCCAAGCCGCTATCCTTTACTCCACTGTGTATATAGGAGACACACCTGGGTACATACACAATACGAGAGAGCACATAAAAATTGTTGGTGTCTACCAATAGCAAATAAATCTTCATAAACTTCACTTCCGATTTTTAATCATTTTAAACCAAACAAGGCAATAAAGCCACTAAGATTCAAGAGCCTACAGAGATTGAAAGAAACAGAGGAAAGATGAAAGAACAGGATTTTAAAAAAGACAGACGATAGCGATTGACATTGTATTTAAATTTCAAAGATTGTAGTTGGAAAGAATATTGAAAGCCGGAACTGATTCCCACAAACGCTAAATGAGTGAAAGCAAACTATTAAAAGAGAACTTATGGTTACACACACACACACACACACACACACACACACACACACACACACACACACACACACACATATATATATATATATATATATATATATATATATCAGTTTCAACAGGGACATTGTGAGATTGCCCTTAAATTCTTAAAGACCAAAAAGTGAAGCTCAGCAATAGAACTGCCGTGAAAATATAGAAAATGCCACAGGGAAGCTACAATACGGCTTTAGATCCCGTGACTAGACCCAAAGGGCTGTGAGTTCAATACCAGGCCACAGGCAGTGGTGAACCAAAACGTTGAGAGTTGAGTCAAAGGGAAATAACTTAGACATCCGGAAGGGGCATGGCACGTGGAACTAGAACAGTCTACCTCTGTTGACGAAATAAAAGGTTCGGTTCGAAATTCCAATCACCTGAAGAAAGTCGGAGCCTACAACGGCCGAAACTTTGTGAATATGGTAATAAAGATGAAGATATCAGTCCGAATAATGTAAATAATTTAAGTAATTTTTTTTGTTCTTGAGAATTGGCAAAAAAATAATAAACACTATTTATTAGGTTGTTTATTTACACTATTTATTTCTTAGTTTGTATATTGGAATAGTTTACAAAATATTGGTTAATTGATAATCGATTCCCACTTTATAAATGTTAAATAATAAGATTCCTTATAACAGGTTCACATATTTTAATAATTTAGTAAATGTTTATAACTTTATGAATAAAAATCGTTTTCATATTTATTTCTTTATAAATTGGTAATTTATAAGTATTTTAGAATTCTGTAAATTATAAATGTATTCTTGTACAATATTATAAAGTTTATTTAGCTTAGCTGTTCCCTGCTCGCATATGATTAGTATTGTAGCCGCGGAGAGAGTAAATCTCTAATTCTTTTTAAAAATATCTGTTTTCAGGCAAGCCTCATTCTGGAGTTCATTGAAGCTCTATATATGTGTTTCTAAGACCATTCTTCTGGCTTCTGGTTAGCGTTTGAAAATAAATTTCCAATATCTTTTGAGCTTTTTTGTTTTTTATATAAATTATAAAATATATTTTTACGATAAGCTACTTTTCTATAGGCCATTATCAAAGATATTTTTTCTCAAGGAAATTATCAAAACGGTTCCTAATTTTTAATGTGTTGTTTTCAAATTCTGATGTTGCGTTAAAACTGTAAATATATATTTCTAAGAAAGGAAAAAGAAAAAAAAAACCTCCTGCGTTTAACGTCTGCTTCAGTGAAATTTTATTAGTTATATGAAATATGGCAGCCCGAAATAATTGCTTTCAGTAATAAAAATTAGCCAAAAAATAAATGGAGTATTTCCATGAGTGCCCCTCTACACGATTAAAGATGCTATAAAATCCTGCAACACACAATTTGTTTCCCTTAAAATGTAAAGACAATATTTTAAGTGTTAAATGTAGAATTTCTGTGGGTTCAGTTATTCATTATTATTATTATTATTATTATTATTATTATTATTGTTGTTGTTGTTGTTGTTGCTGTTGTTGTTGTTGCTGCTGCTGCTGCTACTACTACTATTGAATGAGAGAGCTCGCTACCAATAAAATGACACTGGTGTACAAATTTGTCTCGAGACATTTCTTAGATATCTATAAATCTACCATTCGTCATTGCTGCCAAATATGGTCCGGTGCCCCTGGCATTTACCTTGAGCTTCTTTATAACATCCAAAGAAGAATCAGCAATATTATTGGTCCTGATCTGGCAGCTCAGCTTCAGTCACTTTCCCACCGCCGTAAGGTTGCTTCTTTGTGTCTTTTTTTATAAATATTTTCATGGTAATTGTTCGCGTGAGCTCTTCGCTATGGTATCTATTTTATTTTATTTTTTTAATTTGAGCGCAGTACTAGACTACCAACGAGATCTCATCAATTTACAGTTAAGCTGAGTAGATGTAGCCGTAAGTTCT